AAGACTGACGGAAAGGGCCGAAAAGTTGCGATTGATACGATAGCCGAGATGTCCCGACTGCTTGCAACACAAGTCAGTCCTAAATTTCCCATTATTCTTCAGATTTTACCCATAATCAAAACTGGTCGCATAATGGAATGGTTAGACCTATCTAAATAGACGTGTTTGCAAAAATAATGGGTGGCTTTCAATATATAAGTATTTTGGTAAGTCATTGTGCAATATAAAAAATCATATACCATTATAATAATAAAAAGAAGCATTCCAACGATTCAAGCTAATTTTCATAAAAACTTTGAAAATGAATGAATAATAATATCTGGCATATGTTGCGGTTCAGACCAGAATATCCGTCCCGAAGTGACCCTGTCCATTAGGCGGTAACGAGGCTTGTTGAGTTACCGCCCATGGGCGGGCCTCCGAGGGACGGATATTTCGATCCGAACCGCAAACATATGTCAGATATTTTATATTGCATATTATTCATAATTAAAATGGTTTACCTAAATGAGATATTTATTCATGGAAATGAATGTCATTTCATCCATATTTTTTCTTACAATAGCGTATGAATTTACAACTTTAATAACAACGGCGAAATGACGTCATCCTAAGCGCACACAGACGCTCGGGGGTCACATCATGCCCCCAACGTGATACGCCCCTGTAAACACTCTATCAAAACTATTTTAATATTTAAACACAAAAGTTACATCTATTACAACGATATAACTGGTTTTCAAACAATTTTTACAATTTTGAAAAAATAACGTATACCATCAAGTCTCAATAAAAGTAAAAAAAAATGTATATTTTTTACCTCACCTTTTTGGTGAATCAATAATTGATAATTATTTTGATGATATATAAATTGCTTCTGTTTGGTTACTTCACAAAATTACACATTTAAATGCATTTTCAAAATGTTCACGAAAATATGAATTGGATCTGGAGACGACCTGCTTTAACGAAAAAGTTAACCATACGTCAGCGAGACTGTTATGACAATACTTCTACATTGTACTTCTTTATCTTCATAAATGTCAGCTAAAAGTAGTCATGACCTATACATGTATCTAACATATTTAATTTATGCTATTTTATTTCTGATTTATTGACGATTATCATGCCCACTGCGACACTTATACAGATTTTTCTCCCTTCATTTTTTTTTTGGTGGGGGTGGGGTGGGGGGGGGGGGGGTAGGCTGGCTAAAATATTTATATATGATATTTTTAATCAACCTAATATAGGATATGTTAATGTATTATAAATGTGTTTTACAGTGTCTGCTTTACCAGATGGATTTACGTTGGACTCATTAACTAGATAAGGGGAGCGGTGGCCAAGGGGAGCGGTGGCCAAGTGGTTAAGATGTCTGCCTCTCAACCCAGAGATCATGGGTTCGAGCCCTACTCGGGTCAAGACCATGTTTCGTCATTATGACACTAGTACTGGTTGGTTCCAGGAAGCGGACTCGAAAGTGATTACTATATAAGTTGCACGAACTTTTTTCGCAATCGAGCTTAAATAAATATGTTTAAACCAACCTAGATGACCATTTCAATAACTGCATTTCTTAATTTCGTTGTCTCATTTAGGTTATACTTTTAGATCATCATATCATAAATAATATATATAATACAAAACAAAATTTGTTTAATACAAAGTCCCTGATTCAATTTGGGAAAACACATGTTTTAACACTTCGTAAGTGTGCTGCCTTTCAGATATTCAAATATAAAATTGTGCTTAAGCCAATGGTATTGAGCATGAAAGGCACTCTGTGTCTATGACAGTGTCTCGACCAATATAGATTTGACAACTGTGTACCAGTCAAATAGAACTCAGTACTGTACCCAATAATATATTATAATTTTATAATATATATTAGACCATAAAATCTTTAAAACCATAATAGGCAATAAAATAAGTATTTTTGAGCCGCAGATTTTCAAGCAATATACATGTATATTAATAAAACATATGTTGCGTTATTCGAAAATAATTATACATTAATTTTGTGTTTAGTAAAAAACTGTTGTTGTTGTTGTTGGTGGTGGTGTTTTTGTTGTTGTTTTCTTTCATATTTTTTTTTCGTGCATCTTGTACCTATTGTGTAAGTTATCATTGTATGTAAGATATGAGCAAAATGGTTTAAATAAAATATTTCTAATATAAACTAATAAATTTTACTTCCCTCTTTCGAAAGTACGAGTTCATTTAAGTGCTAATCGTGTCTTTATATCAGATTTGATTCGGTCGGATTTCCGTAGCCATGTACACACGATATAGCATTAGCTTCAAACGCCCACAAGCCCGGACGCTGCACACCATGGAAAATAATGTGTTCCTACGAGATAAAAAAAGAGAGCTCACCCATATTGAATTTTGTAATCTCTCCCTCAGTGCAATTGTTAAAGACTTACATGGATGAAAGATAAGAACAATCACGTTCTATATAAGATATGCTTATTGATAATAAATAAATAGCTCTTCAGTTCATTTTACAAAGTATGGTGTTCTTTAAGTGTCATAGTTCTGCGAGAAAAACTATCATAACATATATGTGTGACAAAGAGGCAACCATTATTATAAAAAATAAATGAATATTCATTTTGTTGAAAATCAATATCATACTAAAATGATTTTATAAATTGTGTGTATTTGAGTTTAGTTATACTCGCCAGTCGCCACTGGTTGACAATACATGTATGGGCGAGTTCTTCAGAAGAATATTAGTCATTTTAGATTTTTGAGGATAGTGCAAGATACAGATACAAAAAGATGCCCAAATTCCAAAAGCTTCTTCTGGTTCCTTGGCGTGCCAAGTGCTAAAGCACACATACACGGGACGTCGATTTAAAAACTCATGCGAAGGACTGATTAGTAATTTTAGTAGGCCAGCTCGGGAATCGAACCCTCAATGTCGAGATTACAAGTCGATTGTGCTATGCGGGCTGGCTCATTTTATAAAATATAACAACTTGATTCATAGAATAAAATCTCTACCGGACTGTAACTTCCGAACTGTAACAATGAAAGCTTTTTTATGAGAGCATTGTTGTTTGACATTGATGGTGTCTGTGTATGACCATGATAAAGTTCTTGTTTGACCTTGATATCATAATAGTGTTGTTCTTTGACCTCGATGCCAGCAAAGTGTTGTTGTTCGACCTTGATACTACGAAAGTATTTTTATTTGACTCTTATGCCATCAAACTGTTATTGTTTGACCTTGACATCGTGATCATGGTGTTACAATGTATTTGACCTTGTTATCATAAAAAGTGTTGATATTTGACCTTGATGTCTTAAAATGTTGTAGAATGACCTAGATTTTATCTATGTATTACCATGAAAATGAAATCGGGAATGAATAAATGCCTTTCAGTGTCCCCACCGGTCTGTCGTAAGTGTATAAGTCCGATTAACATCCTTTTAAGTTACAAGTCACAAGATTGGAAGTCCATTTGCAGTATCTTTCAAAGACAAGTTCCAAAGTTACAGGAGGGCAAGTCCGTTTACATCTCTTACATTGACAAAATCCAACACCAATGTGACAGCAGGACACAAATTACCAAATGACATTCGGGCAAGTCCATTTACAATCCTCTAAATTTAAATGCTCGAATGTTACAGCCGGACAAGTCTTATTCACCATCTTTTATATTGAGAAAGGCAGTTTTCAAAATGACAGTCCACTTACCACCTCTTACATTGAGAAAGTTATTTCCGAAGTGACAAGTTCAAACTGAGGTTCCCACCTTTGTGCATTTCTAATGCACGAGACTTGAACTAAAAGTGCACACCGTGGGCACTTCTAATGCAATAGACCTGACCTAGAAGTACACTTCTAATGCACTAGACCTTAACTAGAGGTGCACACCATGTGCACTTCTCATGCACTAGACCTGAACTAGAAGTGCACACCATATGCACTTCTAGTGCACTAGACCAAATGAGTGGACATGGTAAGATTTTATTGTTGTAAGTCCATTTACAATCTTTTTCTCTACAATTAAATGTTTTAATGTAACGAGGAAAAGTAAGTCCATTTACCGCCTCTTACATTGACGAAGTTATGTTCCTATACAACGAAATGATGAGCAATCCATTTATAGTAATTAGAAATGGAACAAGAGGGCCATGATGGCCCTGAAATCGCTCACTTATATATAAAAAATCTCTATGACAAAGAACAAGATAAAAAGCAGATATAAAATCTAAATCTTAAACTCTTATCACAAAGTTCATATTTGTATCTGAAATAGTGCATGTGTAAACGCATAAGATTTTAATATATATACATATAAAGAAAATGAATAACCCCCAGGGCGGGGCCAATTTTAACCCCAGGGCTTTTATTTGAACAAACTTGGTAGACACCCATTAGAAGATGTTTCATGCTAAATATCTGATCTCTAGTTCTTTGGGTTTTTAAAATAAGAATTTTTAAATTTTTTCTTTCAGTTGCCATGGCAACCAGAGTTCTGTATGGAATTAAATTCTTTGAACAATATTCAAAGGTGACCACCAAAGGAAAATTCCTGTGAAGTTTGGATGAAATTGGCTTAGAGGTTTACGAGATGTTGTTTGGGGATGTCGTTTAAAGTAAAAGTTAACGGACGGACGCCAGACAAAAAGATGTTGTTTTACGTGTTTAAAGCACGGATTTATATAAATCCGTGTTTAAAGTAAGTTAACATTTAAAGTGTTTAAAGTAAAAGTTAACGGACGGACGCCAGACAAAAAGATGTCGTTTTAAGTATTTAAAGTAAAAGTTAAGGTTTAAAGTGTTTAAAGTAAAAGTTAACGTTTAAAGTGTTTAAAGTAAAAGTTAACGGACGGACGCCAGACAAAAAGTGATCACAAAAGCTCAACTTGTCACTTCCTGACAGGTGAGCTAATAATTAAATCTGCTTTGATTACATTTTTCCAAAAGGGTAGTAAAGAGATGCCGGTGTGTCAGGGAAACATGGAAAACATGACCTAATTAATCAGTTGTCATAAATTGTTTATTAAGGTATCACTTAACATTAAGATTTTTAAGATTATTATAAGAAAATACACACAACAAAAAACATTACAATTTTGTTCATTAACAACACATGATTAGAGCACAAAATAAAGTTGTCTATCAAAAACAAATGACTCACCATCCAATAATAAGAAAAGGAAAAGGAAAAGAATATCCTCTAAAATCAAAATATATAATGATTTCTAATGCACAATGTACTGGTTTAATATGATTGCTTCATTTTTCACCAGCAATAGAATTAAAAATTCTTTATAGTGAGCAGGAAGAGCAGCTATATGGTAACGAGAGTACCTTCTAAATAGTGATGGTTTTGAAAACTTTTGTCAGAAGTGGGAAATTAACAAATCGTTTGACACTTTTCAAATTACAAGATTACGACAAAAGCTGAGAAATTCTGATTGAAAACAGATACGTAGACTGTTCTCCTGCCAGTTCTGCGGGGCCCATAATAGGACAGGGAACCAGACAAAACAGAAGCAGTGTATAAAACTAGAACTCCGCGAGTCGGATGTGTCGCCTTGTGAACAATATAGTTTAGGAGATATGGCCAGGACAAAAATGAAATATGAAAACTAACAAAGGGTAATATCTCAAAATATAATAAGTGCAGAGAAGCAGTTTCTGTGCACAGCACTTCTTATCAATAAGATCTATCATTCTATGAAGTTTCAAGTCCATATCTTTTATAATTTATGAGAAAAAGCCTGGACAAAATAAAGTATGAAAATTAATAAAGGGTGATAACTCACAAATAAGAAGTGCAGAGTACCGGTTCTTGTACACTGCACTTTTTCTTAATGAGATCTATCATCCTATGAAGTTTCATGTCCATAGATTTTATAGTTGAAGAGAAATAACCAGGACAAAATTAAAGTATGAAAATTAACAAAGGGCAATTACTCAAAAATTAAGAACTGCAGAGTACTGGTTTTTGTGCACTGCACTTCTTCTTAATGTGATCTATCATCCTATGAAGTTTCAAGTCCATAGCTTTTATACTTTCGGAGAAATGGCCTGGACAAAAATTAAGTATGAAAATTAACAAAGGGCAATAACTCAAAAATTAAGAAATGCAGAGTACCAGTTCTTGTGCACTGCACTTCTTCTTAATGAGATCTATCATCCTATGAAGTTTCAAGTCCATACCTTTTATACTTTAGGAGAAATGACCATGACAAAAAAAAAGTATGAAAATTAACAAAGGGCAATAACTCAAAAAATAAAAAAATACAGAGTACTGGTTCTTGTGCAATGCACTTCTTCTTAATGAGATCTATCATCCTATGAAGTTTTAAGTCCATGGCTTTTATACATTGGGAGAAATGGCCCGGACAAAAATAAAGTATGAAAATTAACAAAGGGCAATAACTCAAAAATTAGGAAATGCAGAGTACCGGTTTTTGTGCACTGCACTTTTTCTTAATGAGATCTATCATCCTATGAAGTTTCGAGTCCATAGCTTTTATAGTTGAAGAGAAATGGCCCATACAAAATTAAAGTATGAAAAAATTAACAAAGGGCAATAACTCAAAAATTAAGAACTGCAAAGTACTGGTCCTTGTGCACTGCACTTCGGGTTATTGAAAGAAGCATGCATACCAAGTTTGAAGTCACTCAGACTTATAGTGACTGAGTTATGCTCCGGACAAGCTTTAGGGGACGCCGACAACGACGCCGCCAACACGGACGCCGCTGACAAAAGTAACCCCTATATGTCGCCTTTTAAGGCGACACAAAAATGGAATGACAGTTTTAAAATGGAAAATGTAAAATACAAACTCACTTTTTCCTTTATAGCTTCACTGTGCAATACCCTTCCCAATAGATAAGTCAACCTGTTTCGCTTATTTTCCAAGCGGTTACCGTAAAAGTTTGTTTGTACCTACGTTAATAGCTGGGAAACCCCCAAATATTCTTAATATTCTTAGAGTAAGTCTATTAACAGGGGCAATAGTTACCTCCCCTGCCTTGATTTTTTTTTTTTAGTTCATTTGACCTGATAATAAAATTTATTTGACCTCAATCCAAATTTTAATAACCCAGTATTTCTTTGTAAGTTTTCTTAGATTGTGGTTAAAAAAAAGAATGAAAGTACATAAAAACATTAGAGTATGAATACTGAATTATGACTGACTATAAGTCCTTTTCTAATAAATGAGATCATTCCATAAATTATTTAAGACCTGTGTCCTTGACAAGTATTCAAAACACTATTACTATGTAGATTCTAGTTACTTTTTCCATAAATATCTTTTTGATATGTTGCTATAACAAATTATTAAACCACCATAACCATGGAAATACATTTTTTTTTAAATTTCTAGAACTTTTGTTGCAAAAATAGTAGGGTAAACCTTTAATTAAATGAGATTCATATTTCCATGGACTTTTACTAAACATTTTCATAAACATTTCCACCATGAGTTATCACATAATATCATGGTTACATTATTGTAATCATTCAAAACTATATTGCTAGGGAGATTCATAAATTTCTATGGTCTTTTACACAACATGTTCCCATGAATTACCTATTTCCATGGACTGTCATACATAATATTCCTATAAATTAAATCTTTTCATAGATGTTCACACATAATGTTCCTAAAATTAACTTTTTTCATTGAACTTTCAAACATAATATTCCTATAAAATAACTATTTCAATGGGTTTTCATACATATTGTTCCATTTCCATTTAATAAACTTTTGCCATTGACTTTCATATATAATGTTCTAATCAATTAACTTTTTCCATGGACTTTCATACATATTGTTCCAATCAATTAACTTTCACCATAGACTTTCATATATAATGTTCTAATCAATTAACTTTTTCCATGGACTTTCATATATAATGTTCCAATCAATTAACTTTTTCCATGGTCTTTCAAATATATAATGTTCCTTTAAATTAACTATTTCCATGGACTTTCATACACTTTGTTCCCTTGAATTATCATCATCAACACATCATTATTATTTCTGGAGATTCATTTTTTTCAAACCATGTCCCTGAATTAGTTAAAGAAAACCACATTGCTTTTGTCACCACTATTTCATAGTCTTACATAAAATGTTCCATGGTTTTTATATAGGCGCAGCTGGTAGGACTTTGCCGGAACAGGTCCCGAATCCAACCCTGTAGCCATTCGCTTCACCATAGCCTGTAAAAATAGGATGAAAATTAAATTGCATAACATCTTAAAGTTGGTGTCACTTTTGCAGTCTGTGCAATCACCTGCTATGTTGTGATTTAATCTCATCCATGATTCAGACCATACTATTCACTAATCGAACCACTTACCATCTAATTGTTTACAAGAAATTATAAAGAAGCTAAAATAAGTTATTCAATAATTTTTATACATTAATGAAAGAGTTATTAAAATGTTTTTAATAATATACTATGTGAATTGCGATCCAGCGATTTTAGGACTTACAAATATCTTAACCATATGATCAAGGTTTTATTGATATTCAGGAATATACTAGTTTCAGAGTGATCGCCCAGGACTACTTTTAGATGACTTTGTACAATTTTTTATTTTTTTATAAGGGTTCAGTAGTAAATCCCTTAAAAAAGATAGACCTATTCAACCTTTCCCTCACAAGATTGGTCCACCAACCCTCCCAACAAAAAGAGGTCCCACCATCCATCCCCTAAAAAGATGCCCCAACATCACTCCCCACAAAAGAGCAAAAGAGGCTCCACCATACTATCCCACAAGTTGGGCCTAATTACTTTTCCCCCATAGGATGGGCCTCTCTATCTTTCCCCATAAGATGAAGATGAACCCTGCCACATTGCCCAAAATATGAGCCCCACAATCTTTTCCCAAAATGTGAATTAAATACGAGTAAGACTTTTATGCTATTAAGTTTATACAAATTATTTTAGCTTGATTGTGTTGCAAGCTATAAGCTTATTGAAACACTCTCAAATCCATTCCTGGAACCAACCAGTACCAAGCATTATTAAAGGTTCTTGCTCAAGGAAACAATGGCTAGCACCTGACAGGGTTTGAACCCATGTGGTCAGCAATCCTTAGATTTATAGTCTGGCCAGTCAACCACTTGGCCACACCGCCATTTTTTATGCTATTTACCAACCTGTCATGATAACTTCATCTCCGTCTTGAAGGAACTTTCTCGTCACGCCGTCACCAAGGTCAATAGGTTTGGTCCCTTTCCAACACAATTCTAGCATGCTACCATAGGAATCCTCTGTCTGTCAAATGTATGTGTATATTAAATTTAATACGTAGTTATAATATGTAATAAAATGTTGATTATATAACATCTTGTACCATTAATGTTTCCAACATTATATATGATAAAAGAATGGTATTTACCTGCTTAATTCTACCCATATATACAATATACATTCAACAAAACAATTGTTGAAATTAAATATGCAACATTACTATTGAAAAAATAAAATATTTATACAATAATGTTTGGCTCTTCCTTTTTTTTAAATAATAAAATAACTTTCTGACAGGAAATATATTTTTCTCCCCTGATATAAATCCAGGTGGCTAGATATACACAGTTACCTCCCTTGACATAGATTCCAGTGACTAGGATATTACACATTTACTGCCCTTGATGTAGTTCAATATTCCACACTTATCTCCCTGGATAAAGTTTAAGGTGGATTCCTATGATTCATATTACGCACTGACTTACCTCCCTTGATGTTTCTAATATGATCCTTTTCCAGATTTTTATCCTTATGATTTTCATAGATATTTAAGGGATAATAAATATTGCAGACTTACCTCCCCTGATATTGTGCCAGAGCCCATTAAGTCCCCTGGATTGATATTGCAGCCTGTTACAGTGTGATGAGCAAGTTGTTGTTTCATTGTCCAGTACATGTATTTAAAATTACTGCGGCATAAAGTTTTAGGCGTAGACAAACTGTCACCTGGAATAAACACAAATACAGGACATTACATACATACAAAAAAAAATCCAAAATTTACTATCATTTAGTTCAAAGGTAACACCGGTCAACAATCTCTCTTTTAAAAGCAAACAAACACACAATTTATTGACTGCCACCAGCCCATACCAACATGTACATTTCACAATATCAACAGTTCATGTGAGCCTTATATTCAACAAATGATTATGAAACATATTTACTATGCATAGATTAGATTGAAATAAACCACTTAGCATATACAATTATCAAACAATTTCAATTTATCTGAATTAAAATATCAGAACCAGTCAAAGTTACACTTACATTTCAGAGATACTTCAAGATTGATGTCAAAATTAAAATCATCCTCATGGGTAAGGTATGGTAGTGGTTTTGGGTCCTGTTCCACGTTTTTCACAACAAAAGGCTTTAATGCATCCATGGTAACCACCCATGGAGATACTGTTGTCCCAAAGTTTTTACCTAGGAATGGTCCAAGGGGCACATACTCCCATTTCTGTATATCTCTAGCTAAAAATTTAATATGAACTTTTATATTTTTATGCATTGAAAAAACATGACTTCAGAGTAAAAAGAAAATTAGATTGGGTTTAACATTGCGCCAACACTTTGAAGGTCATATGGTGACTTTCCAGTTGTACTGGTCAACGAAGACGTCAGGTGCCACTCCCTGCATTATTTAAAGCCCAACAGGTAGAACCACTGATGCTCTTTAAGCTAGATGGATAGCTCCCTCACATAAAAGAATCAATTTGAAGTCCTTGGTGAGATCTGAACACACAGCAGTGACAGGCAAGTGGATTAAAGGACCTTAATCACTCGGCCATGTAGGCCCCCTGCAGAGAGTGAAGGAGTACAATGTACGTTATCTTTGAACATCATTGTATTCCTGAAACAATGCAAGAAAACCATCAGTACTAACACTTATGTATTCTTCGAATATGTGAAGTAGAATAAAAGTGAGTTGAAAAAGGAATGAAAAGAGAACAACATCATTAATAAATCAATTCATTTTTTAAACACATTATGACTGTTTTTACAACTTAATTTTATAGCCAAACTTAACAACTGAAAAGCTCAATTTTAACAGTTTTCATAAATAATGCATTTCAGCACAAATTTTCACAATTCATACGACCCTGGATCAATTTTATTAAAAAAAAGGACCGGCGGACAAAATAACACTGGAATTTAATTACAAGCTCAACATCAAAACAGAGATGATGACTTTATATAACAGTTTCAAACTAACTCCCTTAACCTGTTGGAACCGGAAGTGAGAAGCCTTTGCCACCGGAACTCCACTTTAAATACAAAGACATAACATCATACCTGACCAGTCGTTCATTAAGACCATTCCAAATATATAATCTTCTGCCTTCTCTATGGGCACAGTTTCTCCTAGCTTAGTCGCTGGGCCGGTGAAGAATGCCATCTCCAGTTCAAAATCCAGTAATTTACAACTAGTAAATTGTGGTGGTTTGGCTGAAATAGATGGATGGACGGTGAATCACACTGCAATTAGTGATTATAAATATAACAATTGCAACTTCTGCAGAGCAGCATTCTATAAAGCAAAACAGTGGAACTCACAGCGATCTCAAATACAGTATTCACTTGGCTATAGGAATCACTTGCTAGGTGACCTGATTTTTTCCCTTCTTTATCTTGCCAAAATTCTTTGTTTATAGCATACTTGCAGGCTGTCCAAAACCTTTTGACAAAAAATTATGGCAAATTTAAGGGCAGTATCTGAGAAATTTTAGGGCTAAAATAAGGAATTTAAGAGATGCTGGACAGCCTGTACTTGCTTATAGCATATCATTCGTTTAAATATTCAGGTCCCCACCAACCATTTACCACAGATATCTACAGGGTTCCAACACTTTTCTTAGAATGAAATTCACAGACTTTTCTATGACTTTCAAGGACCTTATCAGCACAGTCCAAAATTTTTGTCTCCCTTTGGTGCAAAATCTGATGCCATATCCATGGTAAATATAAATCTACCCTGTGATTGGTAAATACTTACATGTGGTAAATGTTTTTATTGTTTTGTTTTATTGATATTTACAAATTTTTGACAAATTATAGGTCATATGGTGAAGTTCCGGCTTTACTGGTGGAGGAAGACGTCAGGTGCCCTTCCATGCATTATTTCAGGCACAAACGGGTTCCTGAGTAGACCACCAATTATTTGTAAGCTAGCTGGATAGCTTCCTTGCATGAAAGAATTTAAAGACCCTGTTGGGATTTGAACCCAGAGCGTAGAGGGGCAAGTGGTTTGAAGTCAAAAACCTTAACCACTCAGCCCCCCATATGTGGTAAATACATCATTGATTATGTCATTGATAACATAACTATAGTTAAAGAGGCAAATTTCATATTCTGTGCACGACAGAAAACCCTGAGCTGAATACATCCTATATAACAAAGATTAAACTTACTATCATCAGGTCTAGTCTGGCCGTTTGGGCGCCGGATTGGTGTACCTGATACAACAACAGAAGAAGCTCTGCCGTGGTAACCTACCGGGATATGTGTCCTGAAGTGAAAATGTACTATATATATAAACTGGCAAATTGAATTTATTGAATTGGTATACCCCCACTATTATATCTTCTCAAATCTTTTTCAAATTTCACACAATAATTTTTGCAGTAGATATATAGATTTATACGCCTTAAATAAATCAAAACTGGAAACTTACCAGTTTGGCATCAAAGCATTGTCTTTCCCACGGAACATCACCCCGACATTAAAGGCGTGATTCTTCGATGAGTAAAAGTCTGTGTAATCTCCAATCTTAGCAGGCATGTGCATGACAGCTTCTGTCTGAGATACAAACGCTCTGTAATATAGGAAATTATAATTAGTTGATAAGTTTGTTAAGAGTTATTTCCCTTTGTTACATACACCCATTAACTTGTGAAATGTCAGAATACCTACTTTGGTCCAAATATTCTTGATACTATTAAACAATTTCATTATTTGGTGTATTCATTATCTCCCACCCCACTTCTTTGTCTGTCTCATTTCTTTCATAGTTTTAATATTTAATTTAGTGATGTTTACAAAATTAGTATCAAATTCAAGTACAAGTATGCTACAAGTGACAAGGCATGATTGGGACTAATGCATTTCACAAATAAAATGAGCTTTTAAATGATTATAATATGAACAAAGAAATATCTAAGCAGTCAAAAATTTTGTTTTTGATTGAAAATGGATCATATGCATTTTTTCCTTTCTTTTTAAACACTTCATAATATTTTCTGGTAGGTTGAAAGCCTTATTGAAATTGTAGATGCCATAATAAATACTTTCAAATTTCACTTCTGGATAAAAAAGCTCATATACTCGTCTGGTCAAAATTACTACTTTTATAGATTAAAATATCTTCTCTTCTGCAAGCTATTTCTTCTAATGAAGAACCAAGGCTTATCTGCATTAAAACATTTAACATGAGATGCACAAATCTCTTGTTAACCAAGACCGTACATATCTAAATCCTGTACATAGCGACTGTTTGTAGAACCGTTAAATAGTTGGTTAGAAAATATGCCGATACCTGCACAGTGCCGATACCTGCACAGTGCCGATACCTGCACAGAATCGGTTAGCAATTTATACAGGGTTTTCATTAAGATTTTGTGTAAGAGGCCAAAATGTGTTTGAAGGAGGCCTGATAGGGGGGTCCGGGGGCATGCCCCCCCTGAAAATTTTGAAATCCAGGAAGCAAAATCCTGCATTCTGAGCACTTTCAGGGCTACTTTAGCCACTCTGGTTTAGCATCATTTTTTGAAAAAAAAAACACTATGGAAACTACTGGAAAAGCTTGAAACAGGGGCACTGAAATATGCACTTCATAATTGTTAGTTGTGTCACTCACTATACACAGTGTTTAACAATAATTTTTTTCATTTGAGCTAAACCGTCACACCTATTTGCAAATTATAACTGTAGAAAGTTAATAAACAACAAGCCAAGATATACTTGATCATCATTATTTATAATCAACATCATCAATTTTCAAAGCCAAACATAAACACTTTTCATAGCCAACAATCATCATTTTACATACTCTCACATGATCACATTTTAACATTGTTCAAAGTCAAGCAGCATCATTTCAAACTTCATATTGTTAAATATCATCAAATTTCATAGTCAAACATCATCACTTCAAATAGTAAAGCATCATCACTTCAAATAGTATGCATCATAATTTTTTATCATAAATCTTTAAAGCAAAGTATCATCAATTTTCATAGCAAAAAAAAATATGTCAACTGGGCCCTCAAACTAACACAGCCTTGAGTTATTGATGAAAGTATGTGAATTGGCACAGAAAGGCTGAACGTACGTTTTGTTTATTTCAGATAGGTTTTTACAATTTTTTTCTTGTGGCAGCACGAAATACCCAAATACAACCAAATATACTGTACAGTATAGCAATACTCATTTTTGTTTGTATCAATTTAGATTATATTATAATGAGAAGATGAATTTATAATTATAAAATAACATGACTAAGTAATAAAATATAGATTATAATGAGAAAATGAGAAATATTTTTAAAATAATACGACTTAGCCAGCTATAATTAACTTTTATTTATTTCGTTGAAATGGGCAGTTGAGATATTTTAAGAAAATAAACTTGTGACATTTGCTGATGTAGGTTCATTATACTTGCAATTTAAGATAAAGATAATGCTATGATAATATTTGTTGTCTTCACTTAAATTTTAAGGGAATAATTTTGTTTGTAATTTTATACAAGGATCCGTCGTATTATTGATATGTTGTTATTAGAGGGCCGAGTTTGTACAGGGCCGAGTTAACGCTTTACGAAATGTAATTTTACCAAAGAATAAACATTTGTCAACGGTAAACAATTGAAACTGCGAAATATATTTTAACATGAAAAACAAATCGATAGAATTCTTTAGAAAACTTACTTGATTTCGGTTGAAAATTAAAAAAATCGTCGATTTTGCGATCTATTTTTCGTTTTTTGGTCGCCATATTGGATGTTTAAGTGCCGCCAAGGAAGTGAACCGCAATTAGCGGAAATGCATAAAATTACCGAAAGGAGCGAATCGTAAATTTTCGAGCCCCCAAAGCAGTTTCCAAGTATTCATTTATGGTATCTACGGGATTTCTAGCCGGCCCAAAACGTGTTCTAGGCGGCCAATTTGGCCGCCGGCCGCCTCTTAATGAAAACCCTGATTTATACATACCCATAGTTACCAGAAATAAATAATTTTCGGATACTCAAACAATAATTGCTGTTTTAAACCGAATGGCGCTAACAATAGGAGAAATAACTTAATGAAAAGACATCCAATTAAGGTAAATTATGACTGTGTCATAGAAAGCCCGCTTTGCAAATTTAATTGTGTCAATTGTGTAATTATTGCGTCAAAAACACAAGAAACGCAGAGTAGTAGAAACACTGCGGCTTTGCATTAAGTTTGCCTTAGCACCAAGTCTTACCTTTGCCTGAGTGCAGCATTATCTCGGAGTATGGGTTCATTAGCCTGACAACATCTTCTTGTATGGTTTCTCTAGCCTCCGTCCAGGCTGCACGACCCAATCCCATTAAGGCATTTAAAGTGCTCTGAAGTTTGAATAATATAAAATTTCCTTTTAACTTAACTCATTTCTGAGAAACGAAAAATTAGTATACAGTCATGTTGTATTGAGTATTCTATGTCAGTGACTGGAGCTGTCATTGATTCAGTGTAAAGCATATCAATGATATCATTGATATCAGATGACTAAAATCAACTATACACTGATATATCTATAATAACCTATAATTACTTGTCTGTCATTCACTTTTGTACCTGTTTAAATGATTTCAGTTTAAAACATATTCTGTACAGTGTATTGTCCACCGCATCAACGATACATTGATATTGTCTCTATCGATGACAGCTCTATCAGTGACCTATAATTATGACAGCTAAGACAATTGTCTAATACCATAATTAATACCGTAATTAATACCTTAATTAGCTAGCAAGAAATAAAGTTGCATTTTAAATTATTAAAACCCAACTTATGTGTTCCACCTTAGCAAATGCATCAGCAAGTATAATTTCACTATATAATACAAGAAAACAACTTACCGGTAAGTGCTTTTTTTACAGGCTGGGGAAGATGACATTTCCCTTATTTTGGGAGCTTAATGGACTCATAAAAATGTGGCCAGATAAGAAAATGAGACAAGAGCTGTTGGTAGGACAGCAACGCTCGACTATTCTTAGTGCTTGATAGTAAAAAAAAAATGCTTGATACAGTTACCTCCTCCTGTTTACAGGTTGGGGTCATGATGGTGAACAAGTGTGCAAAGTTTCAAAGCCATATGTCAATGGACTTTGAAAATATTTGAACTATTACAAAAACTTTAACGTAAATTCTAAGTCGAAAAAGGGGCATAATTTTGGCAAAATGCTTGATAGAGTTACCTCCTCCTGTCTACAGGTTGGGGTCATGATGGTGAACAAGTGTGCAAAGTTTCAAAGCCATATGTCAATGGACTTTGAAAATATTTGAACTATTACAAAAACTTTAACATAAGTGGTTACGCCGACGCAGACGCCGACGCCGATGCTCGGGTGACTACAATAGCTCTACTTATTCTCATTGAATAGTCGAGCTAAAAAGGAAAATATTTTCAATAGCTTAATAAATGACACATAATTTTTTTATTACGAAGAAATATTCACTATTACTTACCTCCTCAAAAACATTTTGCTGGCTCGCCAGTACTGGTCCTTCAAACAATGTTTTAACAACACTAAGGTCAAGAATTTGGTCTCCAATAGCAACACCAATGCGGGGCTTTGGCTGGAAAAAAACAACAATATTTAAAATATGTTAAACAAATTAGTTATGTTAAGTCCATAAAATGAGTATATTTGATAAAGTATGTATAGGCAAAATTAATGACAACAAGAGCCAAAACATCTTGTTCAATGGCTTGATATTCCATTTTTCATTGAAGCGGCAGCATAGCCGAGTCGTTACCGCGCCAGACTAGTAATCTAATGATCCCTAGCTACATGGGTTAAAACCCCGTCTGGGGCAAGTTGTTCTTTCCTTGAGCAAGAAACTTTACACTCATAGCTAAGGACAGGTTGGTTCCAGGAACAGATTTGAAAGTGTGCCTATGAGCTTAATAGTTTCCTACATAATTGAACCAAATGAATTCTGTATAAACCAAATATTTCATAAATAAATGACTTTTAATCAATATGATACAAAAGTTAAGAAGAAGATCAGGCTAAGATCCCCCATGGGACTTTAGGGACTAGACTAAAACCCCACACTGAACACGCTCAAAGTTTTAAGGGTTTTTTAGCTGAAGTTTAAATGTTGCATGTTTACTGTTAATTCTTCTTCAAAGACTACTAGCCAAGGGAATTCTTACTGTATCATTTACAAGATCCGTAACATTAACAATGTTGAAAGTTGATAATAGTAATTCTCTCTGTAATGTTCTCTTTGAAAAAAATCTCTGGGATTTTTTGATTTCTTATACATGTACGATGTTCTTATCTATCTAGGTCCACAATTGTGCAACATTTTGACACTATATAAACTGTCATACAATAGATTGGGTTGGTCTATTTAACCCAAGACACCCCAAGACTAATCTGGGACAGAAATATACATATTTTTTGTCCCAGGACTACCCCAAATGTATTGGTAAATTGGGAAAGTTTTATAACTGATTATTTACCTGTCATCTTGTTACTGTTCAATAGGGGCCTACATCAAATATTGTCAATTATGTATGGGCTTTTATCATCACTAAAATATTTTAAATATATGCTCTTTATAGAAAAAATATTGTGATTTACAGTTCAGCTCACGTGTAATGTACAATTTTTGTGCTTCCTCTGCAATCGACATTTAATCGAACTCCTTAAATCCACAGCGTTTTTCTGAGAGTAATTGCGGAGAAACACCCATGACCAAAATCACGGAGTTGTAGAGAGGGTAAAGGTGTTATCGCGGAGATTCTCCAAGAAAATCACTATTTATTAGTTGATATTATATTTAGAAATTATACTTTTTCATTAAAGTAATTTTCCTTTTTCATTAAAAAACTAATTGTCTTATTTATTTTTGTTTTGGAATTTGTAGGTCCATTTTTTTTATTATTCCTAGTACATGTATTTCTCAGAAACAACTTTCTTGAACACCGTACCGCTGAATCAATGTCTGCATCGTATTTTGTTTTTATACTTTATTTGGCCGTTTTGTTGTTGCTGTTTTAAGGACAAGGATACTGTAGGTGTATATAAGGTTTTTATGTTTTGAAGAGCATTAGAGATGTTTGAAATAGGCCATGGAGCTAGATATGCATGTAGATATATCCATTATTTCAATTATCACTGTTTTAACTGTTTTAAAAGATGACTTGTTTGAAATAAAATGATGCGAAGAGACAATGGATCTCAAGATAAACATGTTTATAAATGTATAGAATTGAAGATAAATACAAAAACAACATTAAAAACGTATACAGTTACTACAACAACAACAATCACTTTTATTTTCCAGTCAGTTTACAATACTAGTATACTGTATGCAAATATTTATAACATGAATTGTTTGAAATAAATTCATTGAAAGGCAACGCATAATAGGTGTCTCATAAAATTATGAAAAAGTCTGCATTCATCAAATTTAAGCAATATACATATGCATACGATATAACACATGTTCATCTCTGTTATTATGTCACAGGTATAAATTTAAACATGTGTGCAATGTTCCGGAAAACCGGCCAGGTAACGGATAATATTTTTGCTGAAATCGAAAGTATTACAAGAAACAATTTCTTTTATTTTGATCATTTTTATGAATTTTATTTGCACCAATTGAAAGAAAAGTCACAGAGAATCGCGGAGGACTGAAACACACTGTTTTTTTAGTAAAATACCTCTGCAATCGGCAAAATTCTGTCTCCGCTACACCTCCGAAAATTGCGGAGTTTTAGTGAGTTTCTCGGCGATTTTCCTCCCAAGTACCACGGTGGGAAAAGGAAAAAAGTACATTCCGCGCGAGCTGTACTGTAAATAAATTTTATTGAATTCTATTAAGACTATATTAATCTAACGAAATGAGGGGCACAAAATAAAAATATACATGTATCTATAACCTTACATTTAAAAAATACAGGGAAATAAATGAAGGGAGATAATTTAATGTGTACATGTGAAATCGCATAGTTACCTCCCGTAAACAAAGTAAAGTTAAGACCGTTTAAACACTTAGAGCTGTCACAGGAGACAGCCAAGCTCGACTAATAAAATACTGGACGCAGTAAGGAGGACAAAACTATGAAAGAAAAATCAATTATGTATAATTATGTATTAAGTTATAGTAAAAAAATAATATTTGTTAACATAAATTCCAAGATCAAGGGGAATAATTCTAGAAATAGTCATGCTAGAGTTATGGACCTTGTCACACAACATTTGAGTAATGATAAGAAATATATATTTGAAGTTTGAAGTAGATACCTTAAAAAGTAAAGAAGTTATTACATTTCTTAAAGAAAAACCTAAGTTCAAAGAGAGATAAATCTGTAAATATTGCTTCAAGAGTTATGAACATTGTCACATAAAATGTAATTGATGCAAAGGAATAAGTATTTGAAGTTTGAGGTAGATACCTTTAAAAACAAGCAATTATCATAGTATTGCAAGCAATCCATAAGTCCCCTACCGGTAAGAGCCCAAGCAACATTCTGAAGGGCCATTGGCCATTCACTTAGGTTCCTATTTTAAGTAAATTTGTTGAAAAAGTTCTTTAAAAGTGATCACAGTAAACAGTTTTTATGCACAGACAAACGGACTGAAGGACACTCTAAAGTTATTTTTTAAACATCCCTGTTATCAAAATATAACATTTTTAAAATCCTATCATGATTGAAGAAGTTGGAGTAAAAATTACCAATTTCTCAAAAAAAAGTCTAAGTTCAAAAGGGGCATAATTCTGGAAATAGTCTTGCTAGAGTATTGAACACTCACAAATGTTGAGTGACAATAAGAAACATTTATATGAAGTATGAAGTAGATACATTCAGAAAAAGAAGTTATTAAAAAAACAATGTTTTTTTTCATGAAAATTTTAAGTTCAAGGGAGGTAATTCTGATAAATTTTGTGCTAGAGTTGTAAACCTTGTCACATATGATGTGGTTGATGACAAGCAACTTATATTTAAAGTTTGAAGAAAATATCTTAAGAAATAAAGAACTTATAGTGAAAAAACTTAAAAACTAGAATCAGAAATCTTGAAATTCAGTCTATTTGTTGCCATAGCAACCAGAATTTTCAACATAGACAGATAAAAAAGGATGTGCATAATTTCCATACTGCCATCTACCCATATGTCAAGTTTCATAAACATATTTTCAGTACTTTTTGTGTTATCACTGGATCCAGGTTATGTGTAAAATTTGCCATATTTTCAGTCTATTTGTTGCCATAGCAACCAGAATTTTCAACATAGGAAGAAAAGAAAAAGACGTGCATAATCTACATACTGCCATCTATCCATATATCAAGTTTCATAAAAATATTTTCAGTACTTTTTGCGTTATCGCGGGATTCAGGTTATGTGTAAAATTTGCCATATTTTCAGTCTATTTGTTGCCATAGCAACCAGAATTTTCAACATAGGAAGAAAAGAAAAAGACGTGCATAATCTCCATACTGCCATCTATCCATATATCAAGTTTCATTAAAATATTTTCAGTACTTTTTGCGTTATCGCGGGATCCAGTTTTGTGGACGGACGGACGGACAGACGGACGGAGGGAAAACCTAAAGTCCCCTCCGGTAAACCGGTAGGGGACTAATAACAAAGTTATTAGAAAAAATAACATTTTTCTAGTAAAAAAAATATAAGTTTATGGGGAGATTATTCTTGCAATATTGGTGCTAGAGTTATGAACCTTGTCACATAAGATGTGGATGATGATAACGTAAATATATTTGAAGTATGAAGTTGATCCCTTTAAAAATAAATAAGTAACAGTAAAAAATAGTATTTTTTATGGAAAATTCTAAGTTCAAAGGGAGATAAATCTGAATATATTAGTGCTAGAGTTATTAACCTTGTCACATAAGATGGGGATGATGATAATGTAAATATATTTGAAGTATGAGGTTGATCCCTTAAGAAATAAAGAAGAAACAGTAAGAAATTGTATTTTTTGAGGAAAATTCTAAGTTCAAGGGGAGATAAATCTGAAAATATTGGTGCTAGAGTTATATGAACCTTGTCACATAAGATGGGGATGATGATAAGGTACATATATTTGAAGTATGAGGTTGATCCCTTAAGAAATAAAGAAGGAACAGTAAAAAATAGTATTTTTTAAGGAAAATTCTAAGTTCAAGGGGAGATAAATCTGAAAATATTGGTGCTAGAGTTATGAACCTTGTCACATAAGATGTGGTTGATGATAAGGAACATATATTTGAAGTTTGAAGTTGATACCTTAAGAAATGACAAAGTTATAGTGAAAAATATTTTACTGCACCAAAACTTTAATCTAAAATCTGGACGCGGACGCGGACGCCGGGGCGAGTAGGACAGCTCTCCATATATAGTGGCACCCCATTGTATCGTGCTATTCATTGTATCGATCTATTTACAAATCTCGCGATATTTTGCAAAGTGCGCCACCTACTGACTGTTTACATTTACAACAGTGTCACGTCATACTTTCGCTTTCGTTTTCTGCCGTAGAAATCATCAAAATCATGTTTCGAGTAGTGGTAAGTAATTTTCTGTAACATTTTAACCTAAATTTCATATATATTTTAAATATTTCATGCATAAAAAGTTAAAAAAAACTCCTATCAGCAATTGTTTCAAAGTTCGTCTGCAAATGTCAACCATTGATAAGTCACGTGAGTGCACCTGTCAAAAAATAAAACTATGGAAAGCCGTTCCTGTCGTCTTTTCCATCTTGTGCTTTGCTTTAAAAAGCTTTATTAGACAGCATGAGTTGATACAGATTAACATTCATGCTTGTTTCTATTTTTAGGAACCTGAAGTCAAGAAGAGACGTCTGTTGTATGACAGATCTAATCTCCAGAGAGCATTTGAAGCCACTCAGAAGGGTATTTCTGCATATAGGGCTGCAAAGATGTATTCTGTACCTCCAACTACATTGCGGGACAGGATAAGTGGCAGGGTTAAAGTAACTGCTAAAGTAGGCCATGAGACCATTTTCACTCAGGAAGAGGAGCAGAAGTTGTACAACCATATAACCTACATGGCTGAAATTGGATATGGCTACAACAAGATGTCACTTCAGTACTTGGCAAAGGACTATGCAGATTCTTTGGGCAAAGTTGTAAGGGCTGACAAGTCACTGAGTGATAATTGGTTTTATGGGTTCACCAAAAGATGGCCAGATCTTAAGACCGTAAAGGCACAAAAATTATCCATTGCTAGGGCAAAATCAGCTTCAAGAGAAACACTTAACAAATATTATGAAGAGCTTGAAACAGTCTTAATATCAAACAATATTAAAGATAAACCAAACAAGATTTTTAATATAGATGAAACCGGTGTAAATACAGAACATTCACCTCCCAAAGTAATTTGTAAGAAAGATACTACAGCCCAAAATATTACATCAGCTAGATCGTCAACAATCACATTGATAGCTGCTGGAAATGCATTAGGTCAAAGTATACCACCTTATTATGTATTTCTGGGTCAGAGGTGGAATGAAGATTTTCTGAAAGGGTCATGTCCAGGGTCAGCAGGAGAGATGTCGAAAACTGGTTGGTCAAACTCTGATGTATTTTTGAATTACCTGACAAAACATTTCATTTCCTATGCAGCAACAACTGATTCTGACACACCTACCCTCCTGTTATATGATGGCCACAGATCACACATTTCATTAACTTTAGCTGAATGGGCCAAAGAACATAATATTACAGTCAAACGTGTATTAAGCGACCGGGCAAGGGAAACACCCAAAACGGTCGCTTAATGAAACGGTCTCTTAAGACAGTCAGCGTGATATAAAAGTCAAAATTTATAAATGACATCTTTTTTATTCGGTGGGATTGTTTTTCAACTTCATTTTTATGTAAATGTTGAAACAAGTATGTTCCGATAATCTAAATGGATGCAAATGTAAAAAATAACTTTCTGATATTTATTGACAAAACAGTTTCAAGATCCATTACGTACATGTTTGACATTTTTTCCAGATTTTTTTAACTTCTCCGTTGTGTTTCTTTGTCTCCAACACGAAAACCCTATTAGTGAAGACGTTTTCTGTTGTGCATTTTTTTCATTTGAAATAAACAAACTACATCTATTTGTTACGATTAATTTAATGGCTGATCAAGTTCAAGGTCAATTCAATGCAGTCTAAATGTCAACAAGCGAAGCGTATACACCATCTCAGTATGGGCGGAGCGTTGCATTGTTTATCCGATATTATTGGATAATACACGTCACGCTTTTACTTAACTTCATTTGCATACACTAAAACGGTATGGGAAATAGAGTTTTTCACACGTTTATTGTTGTGTTTTGATTGTTGACACTTGTGACTTAACAAGGTGGCGTTCTCCAAAAACACAATTACTTGACAGGTAAAAGTGGTCGTTTAATGAAAAGATTGATGTCAATTAGGTGACTAATTAGCGGTCGCTGGTCGCGTTGAGCAAAAGTCGCTTAATACATTAAAGATATAGAGAGAAAATGATCGGGGGGAATTTAAAGTGGTCGTTTAAGACAAAAGTCGCTTAATACACGTGGTCGCATGGGCAAGTTAGACTGTATTTTATTTGTGTTGCCTCCTCATTCCAGCCATCTTACACAACCTCTAGATGTTGGCATATTTGGACCCTTTAAAAAAATGTACAACCACGAATGTCAGAAATATTTGAAACTTAATCCTGGAATAAATATAACCAAGTATGACATTGCCCAGCTCACATCTAAACCATATCTTAAAGCTCTTACACCAGAAAACCTCATCTCTGCTTTCAGACGTACTGGCATATTTCCCTTTAATAAAACAAATATTGCTGACTCACAAGTAGCTCCATCAATTATTTATAAAGAGTCTGAGGATAATGTCAAGGAGTGTGATGATGAAACAACTTCCACCAATATTGTCACTACCTCTGTTGAATCACAAAATAAGTCTCCTGCCACCACTTTCTTCTCAGTAAGAACAATCAAAAAGGCTGTAAAGCCAAAACAAAGAAAATTTGTACCCCCCATTTAAGGTTTCTGGTAATCTGTTACTTGACAAGAACATTGAAATTTTGACAAATGCGTCAGTCAAGCAGAATACCAGTACTACGAAGCACAAGAACCAGCTTAGTACTGGTGAGCCAAAACCAAGCACATCTGGTCTTGTAAAAAGTGGTGGTCCAATCAATTTGGAGGCAGAAGATGCTGATGAAACTGAAGATGAAACAACAGATGATGAGAGGTGCTGTGTATGTAATAGGTGGGAGCCAGCAGACTTACATAAACACCTGTTTGTCACTATTGTTTCATGGGGAAAATGTGACCACTGTTCCCACTGGACTCATTTAAAATTTTGCAGCACAGTGCGAGTGTTAAGACGTAAAAGTGAGTTCAGATGCCCTCACTGCCTGCAAAAAGATAATTAGATAGAAAGCAGAAATAGACTTGTAAATAATGTGTTCTTGTTACAGACTGTTACAAACTGTTAAAAGTTCAAAAAATTATGTTGAAATTTTTAAGACAGACATCTTTGTTTCTAATTGACTAAAAATGTTGCATAACGACGGTTTAGGCTTTCCATACTTTGACTTGCTGAGTAATTCTCACAATGCATCGATATAATGGCGTGACCTAATTCTTCAATCTGTTTGACATGGCGTCAAATATCCGTATATTCCAAGCTAAAGACTATGTATCAGTAATGTTTGCCATGCAAATATTATCAGAAAAGGATCAAAATAAATGATAAAAAATAAAGATTCAGGTAGGTTAAATTTATTTAATTGCAGTTGTTATTTATAAATAACTAGATCGATACAACGGGGTTCCAGGCTACTTCGTATAGTCGAGCTAAAAATACATGTCAGTAAAAGTGTCTTGGGGTGGTCTTGTGGTGTATTGGTGTAGTCTTATGGTAGTCTAGGGGTGTCTTGGGGTATCTTACGGTTGTCTTGGGATTGTCTATGGTAGTCTTGGGGTGTCTTTGGGTAAATAAACCGACTGCAATTGATTAGGTTGATTGCTGCATGCATATATTTATCTCAGTACTTTATCAGTTAATTATTTCAAGTATAGTTAAGAGATTCAGGGAATAGAAAAAGCATCTTCTCATATAAAATCATGCTCCACCACTTGTTACATTTTTCACTCAAGTGCCAGATTTTATATCATGCAATTTTTTTGAGGGTGTGAACATGAGCAGTATTTTGATTGGATAAAAAATGACCTTGACAAAATACATAGATTTTTACTATTTTTGTATCGCATTAAAACAAAATTGAATATTTAAATTTTCTGCAACATTTGACGCATTAAACTAAAAATATTTAATATCTTATTACAGGAAATGAGAACCTGAAAAATATGCCCAAATATTAAATAAGTAACATATTTTCGCGATGCCGCATAAGGCAAGTAAAAAATTATCGCAAGATCTTGACAAAAGTACGGGATGTCATGCTAACTTACGTTACTAGTCGTTGAGAACACACCATATGGAAGGTTCTGGATTGGGAAATGACTTTCTGGTGTCACGTTAATAAACGACATTTTCAATTATCTTGTAAGATTTTTTAGAAATATTCAGGTTGGAAAAGGATCCGTCAGACGCCGTACCTCAAACAATGCGGAATAGCTGTTATTATAGGTTTAACACCACAAAATTACTTCATTTTGTATTAGCATACCCGTAAATAATGTTTTTTTCTCTCTTCTTTATCAATATTGATCACATTATCCAAATATGTAGATATAATCTTATAACCTAATGTAATCTATTATTTCATATATACAGTACAATTTAATTGTTATATATATCGACTTCGTTCTCCGGAAATCGACATGATGTGCAAGCATATGAAAAAAAAGGGAATTAATTAATTGTGAACAAACGAAATATCAAATGTCCTTATATTAAATGAGATGTTATTGTATTCTGATACTTAAAGCTCCGTCAATGTTGCCATTTAACTCAACCATTTGAAGACTAAAGTACTACCAATGTGCACACCAATGGCATTGACTATTATATGTGTACGTCGGGTTTAACTTAAAAACTGTGGTTAAAGTTTAACATAAAATTAAAGTCTTGTATAATTACATATCATATAAACAAGTATGATATATGATGTAACTCAATTATTTTATTGATTGCCATATTTAGATGTCATTTTCTAAAGTTAAGTTTTTCTAAAATCTGAGACATCAGGATATTTTGTCTGCTAAATCAATTTTGTCTTTCAACATTTCCTTTTTTACTAGCATGCTTTCAACAGCTTCCTTTTTAATAGCTTGCTTCGGCAGTTGCTCGTATATACCATTTAATTTAATTATATATCATTTCATTTTTTACCGGGAAAATAGGAGCGGAAGTAAATCATTTATAAAGAAATGTGCATGGAAATCTCTAAAACGGATAACATTTTCAACTAAGTTATAATAAAGACGAGATTCGATTTTACTTGAAAAATTAAAATTGTTACTGATACTTTATTCTATGGGATAATAAACATAAAAGCTTGCAAATGAAATATACTTGATATTGAGTTGATCTTAAAATGAAATTTAATGTCTTTGAAATTTAAATTGCACCAACATGTCTTCATTTTGTTCATATCCTGGAGGTCAGACTTTAATTTGTCATTTTATTTTTAAAAATAATTTATTTTTGAAAATGAATAAAATTTCTTTCATTATTCTAGTTGCGACTTTTACACTTGAGCATTAGAATATGATAAAATTCAACCGGAGTCACTTTACGGAAGTGCTTACACGGTAAGTAAATTAAGGTATGCATTCAATTTAACTATGACATATCATATTTCACTGTCGCATTGTCTGTGAAACAATGGTTGGTTAAACTTTATTTCATTAATTATTAGAGTCGAATTTGCATTGTTTGTCTTCTCTTACTTATCTGAGTTACAAAGGATTCTTAAAAAATATAAAACAGATATAATCTAGTATAATTATTAATTTCTATTGTATAATTATAACAAAAATGGGAAACATGTGTGGAATAAATGCAATATCACCAGGTTGTATTTCTTTTTTCTCCGTGTCGAAAATTGCTTTTTTATATTGACTAATGCGTATTTATTATTGTACAATGAACAAGTTTGAGCAATTCCAAAGGAATGGCCGTTCAGCATGGTTATTCAAAAGATTTTTTTTTGTGTAAAATAAACTCCTTCTTGAACAACGTACGTACAGAGCTAATGTTTCTTCTTCAAAGAGAAATATTCTGTAAACTGTTTACCAAACAGTACATTGCCTGTACACTGGTTTGAATATAGTATTTTAATTATAGATATAGGAAACCTGAAAAATGACGGATAGCATATCCCGTAGGCGCCCCATTTGTGATCTTTTGTCGTCCACTTTGATATCATGTGGTATAAATTCTCCTGTATGATTGGATAAGGGCAGGTGTTGCACATGTAGAAATCTTGTTAATTGTATATTTTGCCTCAATGAAAGTAACGGCGGCAATAATGGTACTAACCCTTAACGTATATTGATTTGTGAAAATCAGACTTTTTGAGATTCCAGATTACATTTTTAGAACTGTCAACTATAAATTAAGGGGGAAAACAGCCAACAACTGACTGTCTCACAGGGTTCTGGTGCTAAATTATGTAAGGTCACAAAAGTTTGATTAAACAAAGCCGAACATTACGTACAATGGTTAGTCTATGATAAAAGCGATGTTTCGAATTAACCGTCTTTAAATGAGTCATACAATATCGTTTACTGCTTCAATAATTTGGGTGTAGATTTTATTGTTAGATAAGGCTCCATGTCTCTTTGAGTGACAAGGATCAGTTTTTGTCTTTCTTATTGTAAATTCGCAACATGCTATGATTAAATAATCTGATCAACAGGTCCATGCCCACGACTTTTTTTATGATTAGATCTTTCCTTATCAGTACAGTAAAAAATGCCGAAAATTTCAATGTCAAACCCTATATCATTATATTATGACAAAATTCGTAACTCAAGCATCAATATTTTCATAATTTTCTTTCCTATTTTTTTTCTTTAACGTTCTTAATTTCTTCATGGATTTAAATATTATGTTTGTTATCATACCGGTATGTGATGTAACCTTCTGCTATCCTGAATTTATTTGAAAACTGTTATATTTTTTTCAAGAACAAGCTAGTATTAATTATCTTTGTTATTATATCTTGGTAAAATTTGCACTGCCACGGGAGGTCATGGTTTTTCTTTTCGTCATAGCTAAATAATGAATCTTTTAGTCATAGTTAAATAATGAAAGAGTAACAATCCGTTTTGGTGCACATATGTGTACATTTTAAGCATTTTTTTTTTCTGAAAAAAAAAGAGCAATAGCTGGGAGACAGTCTAAAAGTCATGACCTCTAGCAAGAGAGATGTTTACTTTTCACAGATGTGAGGCCAATACCTGTTTGATGTGCAAGGATATTTATGGAATAATTCATTTAACTGATTTATTTACAATGTATTTATAATGCATTGGCTCATTTCCATGTCATGTCCATCTATAATAAATTGTGAATAAATGGTAAATTTGCTCACAATTTGTTAAACCGATTCATTTGTTTGGGAGATCTGGTTCCAAAGTCTGAGAGATCACAGGAACTGGGCATGCGCAGTGCATATGCCTTAACTACAGGCAAACAATAGTTAGCATCCGAACCCTGCCGTTAGCAGCTTGGTAAAGAGTATGACGAATAAATTGTGACATGAAATCGACAAAACACATACTTCATGCAATCATGTCTATAGGCACTTGATGGCAAGAAAGTTTTTTATCGACAACCCTTTGTGGCCGACTACCCGCCGTGAGATTTATAAAAAAATATCTATAAAACATACACTGACACACTTATCAATTCACTAAAAATCTACCGACAAAACGTCTTTTTTTAAATATATATAATTTTAATGAATTGATATGTGTGTGTGTGTGTGCTCCTGTAAGGACGAGCAACTGAGGACATTTGTCAGGAATAACAGCAACGAGTGAGGACATGACCGACAATTGAGCCCATCCTCAATTGACAAAAATATTTTATACTCTAAAAATGCTTATTTTTTGCTAAAACATGTAAAAAATGGTAATCAAGTTGTGTCCTCGGTTGGAGGTCTCATATGATGGGTGTGTCGGGGCTGTGTGTCGACCTAAAAAAGTAGCAATTTTTGCGTGTGCGTGCGCGTGCGCGTGCGTGTGCGTTTGCGCGCGTGTGTGTGTGTGTGTGTGTGTGTGTGTGTTGTAGATAAATTCTTTTATAGAAATCACAGCAGTAGTCGGTCACACAGGGCAGTCGATAAAAAAACTTTTGTGCCATCAAGTGCCTATGGACATGATTGCATGAAGTATGTGTTTTGTCGATTTAGTATTTACAATGGAAATTAATTGTTCACCTTCAAATAGCCAGGGGAAACGGGAGTCACAAGTCTTCAACTCCAGCTCATACTATTGCATATACGCCAAGTTATATGAAAAAGAGAGATTCTTCTCTAGGTACCTTTCCTCAAACAGTCAGAAGTTACAATGACTACCAAGGAGCAGCCCTGGTATGTTTTTTATATTTATATTTATACAACTCAACTCAACTCAAATATTTTATTTTAGTCTCATCTATGTGCATCTTTACATATATTTAAGAAATAAAACACAAAATTTTTACACAACACAAAGCCACTCCTACATAAGGAGTTATAAGAGACTGTAAAACTATTAAAATAATCTCTAAAATAATCTCTAAAATATCTAATGCGTATTTATTATTGTACAATGAACAAGTTTTAGCAATTCCAAAGGAATGGCCGTTCAGCATGGTTATTCAAAAGATTTTATTTTTGTATAAAATAAACTCCTTCTTGAACAACGTACAGAGCTAATGTTTCTTCTTCAAAGAGAAATATTCTGTAAACTGTTTACCAAACAGTGCATTGCCTGTACACTGGTTTGAATATAGTATTTTAATTATAGATATAGGAAACCTGAAAAATGACGGATAGCATATCCCGTAGGCGCCCCACTTGTGATCTTTTGTCGTCCACTTTGATATCATGTGGTATAAATTCTCCTGTATGATTGGATAAGGGCAGGTGTTGCACATGTAGAAATCTTGTTAATTGTATATTTTGCCTCAATGAACGTAACGGCGGCAATAATGGTACTAACCCTTAACGTATATTGATTTGTGAAAATCAGACTTTTTGAGATTCCAGATTACATTTTTAGAACTGTCAACTATAAATTAAGGGGGAAAACAGCCATCAACTGACTGTCTCACAGGGTTCTGGTGCTAAATTATGTAAGTTCACAAAAGTTTGATTAAACAAAGCCGAACATTACGTACAATGGTTAGTCTATGACAATATCGTTGTTTTGAATTAACCTTCATTAAATGAGTCATACAATATCGTTTACTGCTTCAATAATTTGGGTGTAGATTTTATTGTTAGATAAGGCTCCATGTCTCTTTGAGTGACAAGGATCAGTTTTTGCCTTTCTTATTGTAAATGCGCAACATGCTATGATTAAATAATCTGATCAACAGGTCCATGCCCACGACTTTTTTTATGATTAGATCATTCCTTATCAGTAAAAAATGTCGAAAATTTCAATGTCAA